AAAAAAAAATAAAAATAAAAAATAAAACCTAGAAGGGAGATCAAGTGCAAGGCAAAGAGGATGGGCCTGGAATCAAAGATCCGAATAGAAGTAAAAGCCAGTCCTCAAAGTGATTCTTACTTTCCATGCCATCTGCTTCCAGCTTCTCTTCTCTGGGTTTTTGTTTGAATTTTATATTTCCGAAGTGCATGATGGCTCCAATGAGTTTAAAGCACGCTTGCTTCTCCTCAGGAAGAAAGCCCAGGATGTCCATGGCCTGCTGTGGAAAGAGAAGAAGACGCGCTATCTTTTCCAACGGCTGCAGCAAGCACCACACTACTGTGGGTCCCAGCTGCAAGTTGGCAGAAATGAGCTGAAGCACCAAGACCCTGGGTGTGACAGCCTTGTTCAAATCAACGCAAACGGACCCTGTGGGCACTTGGTCACCTACGGTCTGCTCATCACTTTAAAATGAGAGAATTAAGGAGCCACAAGATCCGACTCAGTTTGTTTTAGTAGTTTTAGAACTTTTCCTGCAGTGCCCAGCGGCTCTCCTCCCTTCCAGCCGCAGACCACTAACTGGTTATATGAGGTCAGGTGTTCTGCTTTTCTAGGTCTGGCAGTGCGTGCTATTGCTCATTTCTGCGATCCCAGAGTTCTCTTGGTTTTACTGCAGAGCAGATTCATTTCAAAGACTGGCGAAAGAAAGCATTTAAGAAAAGAAAACTCGTGCCGTCATGAAATTGCATCCAAAAGGTCACTGCACAGGATAAGATGTGTATTTTCATACACCCGGAGGGAGAAAACGGGGACAATGTAGTGGTTAAGAATGTATATCAAGAGACTATAAAAAAATCATATTCCTCACTTAGTCATTTCACTTGGAATCTAGCATAAGGTAAATCTCGATGTACAGAAAAAGTATTTGCCTTTGAAGATAGTGACCACTCTGCTAGTGGGGAGCAGAAGATTAAATATTCTTTCATCTTGGTTTTTTGAGACAGAGGCTCACAATGCAGCCCAGGCTGGCCTCGAGCTGAAACTCATGGGGATCTTTCTGCCTCAGCCTCCTGAGTGCTGGAATTACAGGCATGAACACCACACCTGGCATTGAATATCCATTTAAATGCTGTGAAGAGTTTGTAATGACATTGGAAGTGCTTATAAAATAAATCAGTCACATAAGTTCAAATATTACATTGTCCCCGTTTGTGAGAAACCCAAAATATAAATAAGGAGCAAAATGAAGGAGAGATTAGGACTTTGGAAGAACTTGTTCGGATGGGAAGGGAACAAGAGATGGGGGGAAAGGGGAGGGAAGGAAGGGGAAAGGAAATTAAGGAAACACTTGGAAGTAAAGGGCTGGGGATGTAGCTCAGTGGCACAGCACCTGCCTGGCAAGTGCAAGGTCCTGAGTTCAAGTTCCAGTACCAAAAAAAAAAGTTGGAAATAGAGTTTTTGTAAATGGGGAGGAAAAGAAGCCCTGGAGGGAAGAGAGGAAAAGGGGACAAAAACAGAATTAAGATGTGTTGTGTATATGTATAAATTTCCCACGATCAATCTGATCATTATGTACTGTAAAAATGTACTAATAAAGAAAGAACTTTTGGGGAAAAAAGATAAAATAAAAAATGCTAACTCTATAAGCCAATTTGTATATGTCATACATCACAAAATTTTGTTGGAAAACAATAAAGCAACACAATAAGCTTACAAAAACAACCCCAAATGGATAAAAACAAAACCTGTACAGATACCCAGTGAAAAAAAGAAATGTTTGTCATTAGGTTGAAATTTCTACTTTTCCAGGTTTCCAAATTGACTCCCCTGACAGTGTACACTTCTACAGTAAGTAAACTTCAGGCAGAAGCAAAGGAGGAGTGAGCCCACTTCTTCCGGTCCCTGAAGAAAACTGCGGTGCTGTGACATTTGTGTTCATTTCCCACTGTCATCGCCAAGCTTGCTTGGACAACCAGAAGACTTACTTCCGTGGCCAGCAGTTCCTCAGCATCATCCAAGCTGTCCACAGCTACTACGCCACAGGAGCAAACGCGAAAGTCACAGGGATTTGCAGATGCCAGGAGCATATCTACAGGAGGAAAATCGCTGGTTAAACAGCTCTGAGAAATCCACAAGGCCTGAGGAAATCATTGAGTGATATTCACAGTTTACTCTTACAGTTTGTAGCATACTTGTAAACAAGCTGAAATGGAATCTATACTCTGCAATCAATTTTTGCCCTGCTGTAACTTGTCAGTCCTCTGTGAAAGCCTTCCAAAAAGTAGACTAAGCGGGCCAAATCCAGAAGCAGATTTGACTGCAGCAGCTCGAGCTGCTGGTAATGTGTGCTGGCTAAACTTTGAAAACATCAATTTGGCCTAGATTCATGGCTGGGGGTCAGGGAACAAGTGTTTCGTTCCATTATTAGTTGAACAAACCTGAAATTTAAAGGCTAGGAAGCAGCCAAACTTTGGGGCCGACACCCCGGGAACGTTAGGAGGCTGAGTTCATCTTCAAAAGATCCATAAACCAGCTGCTGTGCTCCACAGCATGCTGCTGATATATCTGAAGCCCTGACACAGTGCTCCGCGTCCCGAAACACAATGCAGGTGAAGCCAAGGCAGGCTGCCAGCGGCACACCATCCACCAACTCGACAAAATCTCATCAACCTTATCTCCCAACCCTTACGCAGGACGAAGGTTTTTGAGCTCGTCTTAATTTTCCTGTCTATCATTCACTAAAGTGAAGATCTGTTATTCTAAACCCCAAATCTCAGAAACAAAGAGATTGGGCTACACTAATGCTTACGCAGCTCTATCTGAAAACAAGCCAGATATATCCATCAGCAGTTGAATGGATTAACAAACTGAATATTCATGCGATTGATTATTACTCAGCAAGCAAAAGCATGAACTACAACATGAAGAATTTCAAAGTAATTGTGCCAGCTGAAATCAGCCAGACAAAAAGGGTATATGTTGTGATTCTGGCTCACAAAATGCTTATAAAACTTACAAAACTCTAGAAAACACAACCAAATCTACAGACACTGAAAGCATCTTACTGCTTGGCCAGGGATGGAGGGTTGGAAGAAGGCGCCTCAGCCAGTGAGAAGGGCAGGGAGGAATTATACAAGATCAGAAAGAAATGATTCCATGATGAGGTGCACTGTCTTGATTATGGGAATGGTTTTGCACATATGTACATACGCCAGCAACTTCTGGTTGTACACTTCAAAGACATGCAGTTTATCTTAGATCAATAATATTCAATAAAATTATTTTATAAAACTTTAAAAAGTAAAAAGAAATTGGGCTATTCAAAGGAAATCAAACAATGGCAAATACTTTTAATTTTACTTGAACCATAATCCACGAAACTTAAAAATATTTATTTGTATTTTTGATGATTTTTACATATTTTCTGATTGACAGATATTACTTGAATTTATGCTGTACAACATGGTGTTTTGATATATTTGGGAATGGCTCAATCTAGCTTATTAATTCATCTATTACCTTACATAGATATTTTTATGGTAAGAAGTTTAAAATCCACTCTTGGTAATTTTGAAGTGTATAATACATTGTTATTAACTGTGATCACCACACTCTACGATGTATCTCATGAACTTGTTTGACTTTTGTGGATTCCACATATGAATAAGATCATATGGTATTTATCCCTCTGTGCCTGGCTTATTTCACTTAGAAGTGTTTTGCAGTTTCATCCATGTTTTGCAAATAGTAGGGTATTTTTTAAGTCTGAATAGTATATATATGTATATATGTGTACATATGTATATATAGTACATATATAATATATATATGTATATATGTATATACATCACAATTTCCTTATAAATTCATCTTTGATGGATACTTAGCTTGATTTAATATCTTGCCTATTGTGAATAATACTACAATTAACATCAGAGTGCAGATATTTCTTTAATTTCACTTCATTGCCACTGGATGTGTACCCATAAATGGGATTTCTGAATCATACAGTATTTCTAGTTTAAATTGAAATTTTATTAAATTGAAATTTATTTCTACTTTAAATTTGTTTATGAACCTCCATATATTTGCCATAATGGCTATAGGATTTACATTAGCGTTCACTGTACAAATGTTATCTTTTCTCCACATCCTGACCAACATTTGCTCTTACCTGTTTTACAGCTGTCATCCGAATAGTTGTGGAGTGCTACCCAGTATAACTTTTGGTTGCATTTCCCTGATGATCTAAACGCTGAGCAGTTTTGCATAAGCCTGTGGGCAATTTGCATATCTTCTTTTGAGAAATATCTTTTCAGGTTTTTACCCACTTGTGATCAGTGTGTTTGCTTGTGATGGAGTTAGTTGAGCTCCCAATAGTTTGGATAGCAGCCCGTTTTCGGATATATAACTTGCCAGTATTTCCCCTCATTCATAGGGCATTTCTTCACTATGAGGCCCTCACGCTGTGGGAAATGAGCACTGTACGTAGTAGGCAAAATGTCAAGCATTCTAAAAGGCAAAGATCTTCTGGCGGCTGATCTCTCCTGGAGTTTAAGTACCAGCTGCACAGCAAGAATTGGTACAGCAAATAAAAAGAAGGAAAAGTGTCAAAAAGCAGAGAGAAAGGTAGACAGATGTATGTAGAGCCACGCTGTAGAAATTGCATTCAGAGCTAAAGGATTCCAAGGAGCCTTATTGGAGAAGACCAGGAAGTGGGTCTTAGCCACGCCCAGAACAAAGGTCAGCCCTAAGTAAGAGCAAAAGAGAGACGTGTCCATGGCTAGGGAGAGGCCAGATAGGCCTGGAATAGCACTTCGCCTCGCCTTCTCCACTTCTTCAGTTTAATCATAGCCTGTAATTCTTATACCAGATTATTTTGTAGTACAGACAGATGCTTATGCTTTAGGAGATTTGGACATAATACTTCTACTGTTACTATGCTCCCCCTTATATCCTCAAGGTGCACTGAAACTCTTGTATGGCAAACATGGATATAAAGAGTACCCAAGCACTTGTTACTATTTCGCCAAAACAATCGGTATCGCAAGTCAACTGGCGATACCACGTAGGACCGCTAGATGTCAGACTTTGCATAGAAATCAATCCGGGCAGCATTACCCACTGAACGTAGCAAAAGAATTCAACATAAGCATAATTTTTTCCACGGAAGTTCAAAGGCTTCAGATGATTCTACATGTTAGTAATCATAGATAAGCAAAAAATCATGAGGTCACTGCTGGTTCCCACATTAAACCCTATGTGTCAGAAGGCCTGCACAAGAGAGAAAACCATGTCAAGAATGTTAGATTTGACATAATCAATCAATGGAAGGATAAAGACTTTTAAACATAATAAGAAATAAATCCTTTTTGAAGCTTAAGTGCATGGAAGGAGGAAATAGCTGCTATTATAACCAATTATCATAAAAATAACTAGTTTGCAAAGCTTTTCCTACTTTGTAAGGGTACTCAGAAGTTGAAGAGTAGTCAGAAGGCTGCTATATTTTTATTAAACTTAACCTGCTGTTGTGGTTTATGTCTGCATGTCGCCCCAAAGCCTCATGCAGTTATGGGGTGGGCTTCTGGAGTTTATGATTGATCCATAGTCCAATGCTGGGATGATGGGTATGACAGCTACACCAGCCCTTGGGTGGATAGTTTGCATACAGTGTAAGGGAGGGAAAGAGGCTTGCTTGCTACTCCCCCATTGTGCTCTTGCTGCTTTTGCTGTCTCCCACTGCCATGAACTGTTGCCCTCTGCCATGTGCCACCCTGCCTTGGAGCCAGCCAAGTATGCACTGAAACCTCCACAGACTGTGAGCTAAATAAACCTTTCTTTCCTTAATTTTGGGCATCAGGAAGTTTGTCTCAGCAATGAGAGAAAAGTAACCAAGACAGAATTTGGTACCAGGAGTAGGGTCATTGCTGTGACTATACCAGACCATGTGGTTCAAGAGCCTTTGGAAATGGCTTGTGAGAAGTGTTTGGAAAAGTGCAGAGATCTTGCCTCAAAGAGCAGAGCTGGAATACCTTCAGCTGTTCTATATGGGACTTTGTGATCAAAGCTCAGAAGACTGGAAGGCTAATAGAAATCCTGCCAGTAAAGACCAGGCTGGAGAGTTTTCTGCTAGGAAGAAGGACTGCATTGGGTGCTGGACTCCAGACGATGTATGTTATGGCTTGGCAGAAAGTTTGTCTGCATTTTGCTCATGTCCAGAGACTTTGCCTGAGACTGAGACTAAGGGCAGTGGACTGATTAATCTGGTAGAAGACATTTCAAGACAGTTGAATATTGAGGCAATGGCATGGCTATTGTTTTAGCCAGATTTTATGCTGGGATTTTAGCCAGATTTATGTTGAGCATCAAGAGCAAAGAGCTCAGCAGGATGATGTAAAATGTTGTGAGTTTGGCCAGAAAGGAAGCTCCAGTAAAGCTGTGGACTGCAAAGATAAGGCTGAGGAGATCTCCACTGCTGAGAAGGAACAGGAGAATAGAAAAGACAGCCTGAGGGCATCACGAGGAACAGCAGGTCTCTACCCTTTGCAGCCTCAAAAGTGCAAAAGTGAAAGACTTAGCTTTGAGAAGAAAGCTGCAGAGCACCATGTTCCAGAATGGCAGTGGCATAGGAAGTTTGCTCCTCAGAATCAGGTTCAGAGTGCCCAGTGATCCAGGCACTTGACCCCTGTGGCCAAGAGAGAGGAAAGCCTGGCTATTGCTCCAGGTGGCAGCAGACCTTGGCATGGCACTGGTTTTAGGTGCATACAGAATTCAAGACTTCTGAGATTAAAGAGGCTTCCATCCAGATTTCAGAAGAAGGCCTGGGAGGCCAGGAAGTGTGCCCCTGAGAGGGCAGTGTGTAAAGCTGTGTGTGAAGTGAAAAGTGCAGTGGAGACCTCAGAATGCTGGAAAAGCCACGAACATGGATTGTCTAAGGAAAGCTGCAAACAGGGTGGAAAGTGGGCCTAAAAGAGAAGCCATGGGAGCTGTAACCACCAGAAGTGCCACAGGGGTGGACTCATGCAAGCCCTTTGGAGCTCCAATGTGCCACAGATTGCTTTGGATGTTCCACATGGAACTATAGGACATAATGTTAGCCCTGCTGGATTTTGGACTTGCTTTGCTCCCAATGCTTTGTATCCCCCTGTTTGTACCTTTTGGAATGGTAATGTTTATTTTGTGCCATTGAACGTTGAAAGTGTCTAACTTTTCATTTATACAGGGTCTTGTAATTAAAGAGTTTGCCTTACATCTCAGAGGAGACTTGGAACTTGGACTTTTCAGTGATGCTGAACTGTTAGAACTTTGGCAACTCTTAGAGATGGACTAAAATGTCTTTTGCATAAAGGGATGTATATCTGTCTTTGGGGGTCCAGGGGTGGAATGTTATGGTTCGTGCCTGGATGTCCCCCTAAAGCCTCATACAGCTATGGGGTGGGCTTCTAGAGTCTATGATTGATCCATGGTCCAATGCTGGGATTATGGGTGTGAGAGCTTCACCAGCCCTGGGGCAGGTAGTTTGCATACAATGTAAGGGAAGGAAAGAGGCTGCTTGCCGCTCCTCCCTTTTGCTCTTGCTACTTTTGCTGTCTCCTGCCTCCATGAACTGTTGCTCTCTGCCATGTGCCACTCTGCCTTGGAGCCAGCCGAGTATGGGCTGAAACCTCCACAAACAGCAAACAAAATAAACCTTTCCTTCCTTAATTTTGGGCATCACATATTTTGTCTCAGCAATGAGAGAAAAGTAACTAAGACACACACAGACACACACAGACACACACATACACACACACACACACACATTCCCACCCACTTCCAAAGGCTCTTCCCTTAACTACCAAATTTAAGTGTTGCCTTTTACTATCTATCCATAAAAACATAAATATTGGTTGCGAAATTGGTTCAGTTACCTACGTTGTAGGTTAAATAAACTTTAAGCAAAGAGACTTTCTAACAGAACTTTCCAGTCCCTGAAATATATTTCTCTCTCCTGTTCTGCAATGACCCTTGGCTCCAACATTTTATACATACCATGAAGTTCTTTTTTTCCAGACAGAATTTGATAGAATATGTGGTAGTTCCTCTCCCCAGGCAGTTGGTAAATTACCCGGGATTTTTCAAACAAATCTGGGTAGGTGAAAAATGAACAAAAATTCATATTTAGCTGTTCTTGAGCAACTTAGAAGAAAAGGAATCGGATAGTGCAATGGCTACTCACAGATCTCGATGTCTGCAGAGGACAGCAAGCCTCTGGAATCAAAGTACATCCTGATGAATTTTCCCTAGGTGGACACAAAACACAAACTATTCAAACTTTCCACAAATCTTGCAAACAGTTTCAGTGGCTTCACCATATTCTTCTTCAGAGAGTAAAACATAAAATACAACATGCATTTGAGATGAAATGGCACCTAATTAATGTCTGTAGGGAGCTAGAGTGATTGTCAAGATTAGTGGGAGTCCTGACTGGTGGTCTAAGTTTCGTTAGCTGCTATCTATGTGTTCTTGGGGGGAACTGAAGAGATTTTGTGAGACTCCGTGTGCTTACCTAAAAATAAGGAGTAGAATATCTGTTCAGCTGCTCTTTCATTCATTCTCTCAATAAACATTCACTGAGCAAATGTTATGATCCAAGAAACCCGCTAGACACTGGAGATTCCACACAAAAAGTGGGTATGGCCCACTTGGAGTACATGATCTAGAGGACAGCTGGCAATTGCATCAGTTCTAACAAAGGAGCACTTGGCATGTTTTGAAATCGGAAGAAAAGTTAGGAAAATCCTTACTAAATGGACTCTTTATGAGGAGTACAAGAAATTATGGAAAAAAGAGTTTCAAGTGCATAAAATATACAATGTTATTATAATTTGTTTTATAAATTTCTCTAGAGTATAGGAATGAAATCTGCAGCTGCTATAATAAATTCTTCCTGAGACTGACCGAATAGAAGTTTCTCAGATACATATTTCTAGGTAGATCTACTGTCTTAGTGACAGACCTCATAAATTCTTTCAGAACTCGAACATTATAGAATTTAATCAAATACCTATTTTTGGTGTTCTCATTGTTTTCATTCGTATATATTCAGACATGAGTATTACCACTGTTTAAAAATTAAAGACCCTAATATGCTAAATAATAATTACTCACAAAACGAGAAGAATTGTCATTTCTTAGAGTTTTGGCATTTCCAAATGCTTCCAAGATGGGATTGACTTGCACAATTTGATCTTCTAAAGTCCCCTGAGAGGCACAGAAAAACATACAGCTAGTTAAGTTTTTAGAAGAATTCTACAATATGGCGTGTCTTCCAAGGGGAGCCTCATTCCTTCTCTAATAATAGGTAGCCAAGATTCCTTCAGATTTTGTTATAAAATATAATATTTTGGAGTGGAAATTCAGAAAAACCAATATACAAAAGAGCACAACTCAATATGCAATGTGTTTGTGAATATATATGGGAGCTCATTAACTGGTAATGCTTCTGTTTTGGTTATCCTTGGCTGATGTGGAAAATGAAAATGATGATTCCCCAAACAAATTTCCAGGCATACCCTGTCAGACATTGCACTGTAGCTAAACACATTCATAAATATCAAAAGTGACCATTCAAGGCATTGATGATCCTGCCTTTGCATAAAATGGTTTGATTATTGAGAGTATAAGGGTCAGAGAAGCCTACCAACAAAGAAAACACTAGTAAGTGTCCCTTAAAGCAGGTCTGAAACAAATTGTATAATTCATGTTTTCAGGTTACTAATTTAGAGAATTTGACGATTCTCTCCGGGGGAAAGGGAAAATGAAAGGCTTTTTTACATTTTGTGAATTTTTCTGTGGTTTTATCCACCGCCTTTCCCCATGAGGGCTTAGGGCAAAGCTTCCATGGTTCAGTAACTAGAGCCATCTCACCTGCCTGACACAATATATAAGTACTCACCAGCTTTTTCCTGGATTCCGTCATGGCGGCAACAGTGGCAAAATACTGGAGAATATGTTTGGTGTTTACAGTCTTTCCAGAACCAGATTCTCCTCTGTGATTAGAAATTCAATGAGAAGGAAGTCATCCTGATCAAATCTAAACCTCTTCGCAGGAGACAGCCTAGCAATCATTTCACCAGGCAACTATACAAAAGGACCCCTCTTTCTCTTTTATAACTAGCTAACTTTATACACAGTCTTTAGAAATTATTAGGCTTGCTATCCAAATCTTATGACAAAAGACTGCCTGGACTTATAGGAAATTCAGTGCTTTACCTGTGTTCTTTCTGTCAAAATTAACACGCAGTAAGGTATCGCCAGGCCCTTTCCTTCCTTCCTTTTCATCCTCTTTTCTTATCCCTCGAAGTATTTTGTTCTCAGTGGCCTGCCCTTGTGTGGCTGCCTAAAATAGCACTTTGTGTGCTCCACGGCCATATTCAATGGGCTTTAACCTGTCTTCTTAATTAGCCAGTGCAGAGATCTTTGAAGGTGATCGTTTGGGAACTCTCTCCACCAGCAAGGTGCTCGAGCCCAGGCTGTGCACCGAGGCTTCTAAAGCATCTCTTTAAATGATGGAAATACCGTATTTGGAGGAATCACTGACTTATGACATTATGACATTATGACAATTGACATTATGACAATTTGCTGAGCTCTGTGTCTTATTCTTGGAAGAATGCGTTCTGGGTTTAAAGAGCAAACAATTCAAACATGTTAAATTTAAATTGCATTTTCAATGACACGTAGGTGTGTATTCTCACTGAAAATTTGTACTGACCAAAAAGCAAAACAAGACAACACACTTACGTGAACAGTATAGACTGATTCTCACGACCTACAAAAGGAAGAAAAATGCCAGAATATGTTTATACCAGAGGCTTATGTGTTGGCGTGAATTTATTTACAATTTCCTCAGCTTCTGTTTGAAGTCAGACACGGGGAAAGGATTTGGTTGATTTAGTCAGTAAAAAACACATTTAAACAGTGATGGATAAAACAGTGTTTTTCTATGTAGACTGATCAGAACAACGTATAAATTTGCGACTTATTTCTTTGCTCAATATAAAAACGGTAATCAACTCATGGTTAACATTTTTCCCATTTTAAGCCTTTTGGGAATCATTGTGTAATAATAGCTGAAAATAATGTCTTTGTGCCCGACAGTATAGCAGATCTTTTATGTAATAATAGCTGACATCTACAGGGGCTCACTCTGGGCCAGCCACCAGCCCGGCACTGCAGATGCATTCTTTCACTTTGAAGTACAAGCTAATTGTCTCAATAGCCCTAGGAGGTACAGAAAAAGTAGATCAGATATTTTTTACTTTTCATTTTGTGGGGCAGTCACTTACTGTGCAGCATAACCTGAAAGGCATGATCAGCAACAGCAAAGATGTGAGGGGGAGCCGCCGAGCGCCTCTTCCCTCGGTAGGCAGCCATGACTTCTTTCTGGTACACTGGAAGCCACTTGTAAGGGTTTAGGGTCACACAGGAGAGACCCGAATACGTCTGAGAGAAGATTAGATTTTGGCAAATAGATTAGAAATACTTCCAGGTCTATTCAATTTTTTTCCTGGCAGATAATATTTGCTTGAATATTTACTTATAAAAAGAACATTACGAAAGAGAGCTTTTGATTCTTCAAAGGAGGAATCTTCTAAATAGAGGAGACAGAACCAGGTCAGCCTAACATCAGCATCTGGGATTACCTCTCCCTTGGGAGACTTGCTAACTACTAACATGTCTAACGCAGACAGCTTTTGAAGACAGACTGCTAACAGCAGGCCTGCAGGGATTTCAGTAACCAGCCATCGGGCATTTGAGGCAGCAGGCAATCGCTGCCTCAGCAAGATTAGGAACCTGGCTGTCAGGACACTGATGGGGAATAAATGGCTCGTGCGGGTGCCTGGGTCAATGAAGTGGATGGATTGTGGCTCCCTACAAGCTATATTCACAGTAGATCCCTAATCCCTAGAAACTGTGAAGGTGAATTTATTTGGGGAAAGGTCTTTATAGGTTTAATTAAGTTAAGGACTTGAAGATGGACATCCCAGTGGGCCTTAAATGTAATGACCGTTCTCCTTCCTACAGGCACACACAGGAGAAGGTGATGTAAAGATAGAGGCAGAGATTAAAGTGAAGTGTGCCCACAAAGAATGCCAATAACGCTGAAAGCTGGAAAAAAGAAGAAACGATTCGCCCCCAGCTCCTCCAGAGGGAGTGAGATCTGCTGATCTGGCTTTGTAGCCTCTGGGTAATGTCAGAGATGGATGATGGTCTCTGATAATAGTGGCCTCTGGGACTGTAAGAGAATAAATAAGTACGTATCATTTTAAGCCAGCCCAGTTGTGTTAATTTTGCCACCATAGCCCAAGAAAACTAAGACAGACACGTGGTGAATCAGAGAGGCCACCATTTTAATCTAATCTCTCAGTGCTGTTTCTGATGTGTAGGTTGTTTTTTTTGGGGGGGGAGGGGGGAGTTTCCCAGGTACCAGGAATCAAACTCACAACCTTACACTTGCCAGGCAGGCACTGTGCCACTGCGCTAAATCTCCAGCCCCCTGATGTGTAGGTTTTGATTAAGTCAAAGAGACTGAGCAGCAACCAACCATCACCAAGTTTAATGAGGATGAGAAAAATCACTCCGTTTAGTGAACACTAACTAGGCGACAGCCACTGAACTTTGTACTCTATCTGTATGCTATTACTATTTCACTTTACACAAAGGTGACTTCAAGACATAAAGGTCCAACAAGACAGAGGTGTGATTAGAGAGAAGAGCCCTGGGACTGTGTGGGTGCTCTTTCAACAAGACAGAGGAGGTGAAGAGCAAAACAGCTTTATCTCCATCGGCTGCTCCTGACACTAGTGCCTCACACACTGTCAGGATGGGCACAGATGCTGCTTTTAGACCTCTGAGCATGGAGCAGCAGGTAGACACACAAGAGAAACACAAGTTCCATGTGTGTCAGTCCTCTGCTTAGATCCCATTGTGGTCTTAGCGGTGTTCATTTCACTACCACTGGGTCTATAAATGGGCCATTTTATTTTTCTCTGGTTCATTTAGAACTATTTAGCCAGCACATCAAAGGCAAATTAAGCATGCTTTGACATGTCTCCAAGGAGGCCACAGTCTAGTGGTAAAGATGATGTGTACCCTCCCTGAAATCAGGGTGATCATTGCTGCCAAGAGCATAAGAACTCTTTAGAACACATCTCATCTTGGACGTCCAAAGGCTGTCGTGTAAGACGCTTGATGGGTGTTTTTAGGAGAGTTGGATGTGTGTGTGTGTATCTCCATACAGGCGTGCATGTGGGGGGTGCACGTGTGCATGGCTACAAGGATCTTCCATTTTCATCTTTTCACTTGTTTGCAAAAGTGAAGACTCTCAAATATACTTTCCATTCAAAATTTTTTTAAAAAGTCAGAAGATTTTGAATATTTGTTCAAATGGGAAGGGGAACTAGAGTGGCGGATGGGGAAAGGAAGGAAGGGAAAAGAAAAAACGAGACAAGAAGGAAGAAATGGAAACAAAGCATTTGTAGAAAAGGAAGGGAAGAGGGATGGAAGGGAGGGAAGGGGATTGGGAAAAAATAATCAAGTCGTATTATGTGCAACAACAAACTCCCTACGGGGAATGTGATCATTACGTACAGCTAAAATGTACCAATAAACTTGGTCAATAAGAAAAGAACCTTAACTTTAAGGTAAAAGAGCTAGCACTTGGACTCTGGTCTACCCGTTTCCAGGCCTCCTGACTTTCACTTAGAATGATGACCTGTGGAAAGGGACTTGGATGCAAACAAAATCGAATTGAAGAAACATTAAAACAAGCCCCTCCCCAGCGTGTTTCTCGAGGACTGTTTCTATGGATTATGCTTAAATTAAATGTAAGCTATAACGCAGGAGGGGTTGGGAGCACCAGGATGTTATGTTGCCAGTAGAGCAGATATACACACGTGGATCACCCAGTGCTCATAGCGCCTCCTCAGGGTGTGCAGCACAGATGCTTCGTTGAGGTGGGTCAGCTTTGCCACGTCTTCAATCATGTCAGACTTTTCAGAATTCATCTGCTGGATGCTGTCCTGCTTGACACTCAGACTCTGAAGAGAAGAGACAAAACTATAAGACATAGTCCGCTATTTCTCCTCTGCTTACTCGTACTGCATGCACTGGAGGCAATATTCAAAGTAAAAAGCACTCCCCTAGGGCACAGGGCGGGAAGAGGTTAAAGCAACTTTCACGTAAGAAATAGATGTTCCCCTACCAAACCCTCTCCTTTCCTGAAATGAAGAAAAGCATATTTTTGCTAAATCATCCGCCGTGAATTCCTCACTAGAGCTGAGGTTATATTTGGGTCATATACTTGAACATCAGTCATGTATTTTAACATTAAGCCCCTTAACTTTATAAAGTTATCCATCCTCTGGTATTTATCATAGAAAATAGACTAATGCATAAATCAATAATGAAAAGGCAATATCCCTATTAAAGGTTGGTTAGGCAAAGAGTTTAAGAAGACATTTTTTCCAAAGGAGAATAAAGGCCAATAAATTCGTGCAATGATATTGAACACCATTGATTAGGGACCTGTAAATGAAAACCATACCAAAATACAGTACCGCTTCATACCCATTAGTATGGCTATAATCTGAAAGATATTAGGGTACGTTGTTAAGATTGAGAAAAATTACACTACTTGTACATTAAATGTGGGAATATATAATGGTACTGCCACTGTGCAATAGTTTGGCTATTCCTCAAAAATGCTAAACACAGGGCACCATAAGACCCAAGAATTTTACTGTTAGAACTATACCCAAGAGAAATGAAAACATACATCCACACAAAAACTTTCACATGCATGTGGATAGCAGCAATATTCACAGTGGCCAGAATATGTAAATACAGTACATCTATAAAATGGAATATAATTTAGCTTAGAAAAGAATTAAGTATTCATACAGGCTGCAAAACAAATAAACTTCAAAAACATTATGCTAAAAGAAAAGAGCTATATACAAAAGATCATCTACTGTATGATCCACGTGATCTAAAACTGCCAAAATAGGCAGATCTGTAGAGACAGAAAGTCGATTTGTCATGGCTGGGTACTGAGGGGTCAGGAGAAAAACAGGACTGAATGCCAACGATACAGTGCTTCTTTGGGGGAGGATTAGAATATTCTAAAATGAGGTCATTGTGGGGGTTTCACATTTCATCAGATATATTAATTTAAAACTACTGAAATGTAAACTTTACAGAGGTGAACTATGTGGTACATCAATTTTATCTGAATTAAATCTTTTGCAAACATTGGCACAATAGGCTGGGGTTGCAGCTCAGTGGTAGTGCTCAAGGAGTGTGTCCAAGACTCTTGGTTCAATCCCCAGTATCACCGAGAAAAAAATGGCACAAATAATGATAGAAATGAGACAAGAGACATTTAGATCTGCGTTTTGCTTTTTCTCTTCAAGGCTAACCAGTCCTGTGTAACTGTAGCTTACTGGATTAGCAAACTGAATCTTCGCTTGTTTACCTATTTATATTCCTGTTAAGAAGGATAACTTTCCTTCCTTGGTTCCATTACTTAGTTATATAAAAACCTGTGGATTGTTTTACATATAGACCTTTCAGAAAGACATACTCAAGCACCATAAGCAATATTTATGAGTGGCCTCCAGAATTTTACAGCTTATAGGGCATTCCATTTGATAATAAGTTACCTAAGTGCACAGAGCATGGAAAAAATAAACTTTCCTAAAACAAAGATAATATGTGCATTGTAAGGTGTGACTAGACATAGGGTTGGGAAGGAACACAGCTGGAAAGAATTGAGAGGGGGCAAGGAATCATCATCTATAAAATCTTCAAGGCACCGTGCAACCACATCAGGGTGGAAGCGGGGCCCAGACCATGCCCTGTGGCTTGCAGGTTACTTGAGGTCAGTGATGCAGGCAAAGTATCTGACCGAGGTGTCTTTTCAACACTACATTGCTGCGGGGGGATTGTGACAGTTTCACTGCATAGCCCTTCTATGAATGCTTATGTCCCAACATGTGGCCTAATCTTCTCTTTCACTGATGACTTCCTATGTCTGAAATCTAAGGCTTCCTCTGGGCTCTTAATCTTTCTCTAGTATTTCACATGACTTTAATGTGGTATATTCCCTCATCTCTTGGCTTCTTTGAAACTATACTATTTTTATTCAGTTTAGATACCTTTTTCTTGCTCTTAGAAATACAGCCTGCTTCAGAAATCTATAAGTTATTATTCACTCAATGGGGCACCTTTAAAAAAGAGTTTAAGGCATGGATGGAAGAAGTAGAAATGGTTGAGTTCTGGAGTCAGTATTTGCCATCCAATCATTTTACTCAGCTTTATTTGATGCTTTTTATTAAATATTTATATTAAGTGGGGGAGCCCCTAAAGACAAATGAAGTCTCCAAATGGGTTAGGGGCATTTCCTACCTAAGGTCATTAGTAACAATGCTACAGAAAAGAGATTTGATGAAATAGAGACTACAGTCCTTCTGGAAATGAAATACTCTCTCACCCTTCCATCCTTAGTCTCAACAAGAATGTTTCCATCTGCTTCACTTCCTTTAACTTCAGCTTCAATGTAGGCATTCTTCCCATCACAAACCCAACATTTCTCCTTTCCTGTAGAGGAAAACAAATGAGTTGTAACCATGGTTCTTGGAGAAATGGGTAGCCATTGAGTACTTTCACGTGGATAGATGTGATCTTAGCTCTGGTAAGTCTGTTTGTTCACTTGGAGTCACCAATATAGGAAATTCCCACATTATATGTAATTGTGAATGTTTACCCCGAAGATACACACACGCATACACACACATACTCTGAAGAATGAGGAATATCTTAGCAGGGTTGGGGACATCATAAGCCATTTTGACACAAAAAAGTTACCTACTAACATCTCCAGAACTTACCCAGCTGCACACTCAACCACATCACTACTTCCGATCCACCCCCCAGGCCCTTGGGTATTGCCTCAGTGCTTGTTCCCTTTCCTAGCACACATACTCTCCCAAATCCTTTTAGATCCTGTCCTTCAGTATTTCTTTAGATTACATTTTTAATCTTTGCATGGAAGTCTGCTAAGAGAATGACAGGTTAAAATTAGGATATTTAGGAGGGAGTGTCATTTATTTTTCTCATATAGTAAAACTGACTCACAAAACGGATCAAAGATCTAAATATTAAAATAGAAACACTAAATCTACTTGAAGAGAAAGTAGGTAGACATCTTGGAAGACATAGGTATAGGCAGAGAGTTCGTGAACAAAAACCCAGACTGCACAGGAAACATCTTAAAGAATCAACACCTGGGATCTCATCTTATTAAAAAGCTTTTGTACATCAAAAGAAATCACCAACAGAGTAAAAAGAAAACCCACAGAATGGGAAAAAATTTTAGCCAACTGTCCCTCAGACAAAAGACTTCTATCTAGAACATATAAAGAATTTTTAAAAATCAGTCTGCACCAATTTCAAAGACCTAATCAGAAAATGGGCATCTGAGATGAACACATGCTTCTCAGATGAAGAAATACAAATGGCAAATAAATACATGAAAGAATGTTCAACATCATTGGTCCTTAGAGAAATGCAAATTAAAACCACACTGAGACTCCATCTCACTCCAGAAAGAATGGTTATCATCAGGAAGTCAACTGATAACAAATGCTGGAGGGGTTGTGGGGGAAAAGGAACCCTTCTGCACTGTTGATGGGAGTACAGACTGGTGCAATTACTATGGAAATCAGTGTGGAGACTCTTCAAAAAACTAGGATTAGAGGTTCCATTCACCCCAGCTATTCCATTTCTGGGTATCTTCCCAGAATTAAAAATATCATACCACAATGATATATGTGCACCCATGTTTATAGCAGCACAATTTGTAATAGCCAGCTCTCAGAAACAACCCAAATGCCCACCAACGAAGGAATGGATAAAAAATGATTTGGTCTTTTAACACAATGGAGTACTACTTGGTCACAAAGAAGAATAAACTTGAGACTTTCATAGGTAAATAGATGAAACTCAAAAACATATTCATAGTGAAATAAATCAGACTTACATATGTAAACATCATACAGTCTCTCTGGTGTGAGAAAATGAAAGAGTGAATAAGGTCTAGCATGTACAATAGATACTGTGAAATGGGAAGAAACTGTTCAAAAGGAACTAGGACAGGAGAAAGGAGAAAGGAAGGGAAAAGGAAAAACAAATGCAAGTTAGTTACACTAGTAGTATAACTAGTAGTGTCTCTCGTTGAAAAGGAAGGTTTGCGCCAATATCAATTGGAGAATTTTTAAGCCCATATCTTGTACCCTGAGTAACTACTTTAAAGATAACAGCATGCAATGTATGTATTAACTATTGTTAGTCTCCTATTATTCTATTATGAAATTTTGTTTTACTTTTCTCCATAAAATAAAAAACTGACTATTTCCTGCATATGTTATTTGCCTCTACAGCCTCCTCACCCCTGGTCCCCACTCCCGAGCAAAGAAGCCCTCCACAGAGGGGTTAACCCGTAGCAGGCTGCAGTTGAAATGGCTCGGAGCTCCTGTGATCTGAGGCAGCCTCTCCAGACGCACTTACATACCTCTCAACCTCTCACCCACTCGGAGCATCTGACAGCGAAGCTAAATAAGAAGTAAGATTTTAAAGGAAAATGAGTTCTAGCAGATCACAAGAGGCCCTATATCATGGGTCCTCAGCCAGAGAGGAGGAAGGGAGACCAGAGAGCATTTGGCTGGGAAGGCAGAAATCCTAGCTCAAGGTTTAAGTAAGACCCAAGAGAAACTGCAAGTATGGTACCAGTGGGTAACATCACTCAGTTGCCATCACCACTTATAATATGTGAGTCACGTAAACTAGCGAGGCCCCCCTGCTGCAGGAAAGGCAGCCTACACCACATGCTTTCTGTGGGGATGGGCAACAGGATGGGAGAAGGGCTTCGTCCAAAGGAGGCAATGAAATAGGCTGCCATCCACCACTTCCACATCACCCTTGTCTCCGCAAGGAACTATCGCGCACTACCTTCCCTTTATCAAAATCTGCAATGTGCCGCCTTCTCTGTTCTCTTGACTACAAATAATGCTCCACTGAAAGTGCTTGGCAGGAAGATTTTCCATCGCTATTTAACACGTCATCTATTGGCCTTCTTCTTGTGTGTGTTGCAAATATTGGTTTTGCTTTGAGTCTTTTTTGCAAACACTAATTTTCCTTTGGGTTATATCTCTGAATATGGGCTTGCTTTTGAAATGCACCCATTTAGTAGACCGTCTGTGTTTGCTTAAGATAAATGCTTCACATCTCAAAACAGCTATTATCACTTGAAATGAATTTGAAGACCGCCTAGCCATAGCCTTCTTTCTGCTCTCGGGGATGGGGGCACACATGTGTCTATGTCTGTCTATTTCTTTCTGTTTCTCTGTCTCATTCTTTCTCAAAATAGTTGGGAAAAGCAAAATGGTGCCCATAGCCACACCATGGTCATATCTCTACTTCGTGTCAGTCATTACAAAAATCACTCTGAATTAGAACAGCCACCTCCCAAATCAGTGTTCGTTCACTACAGCATGCTTCCTCCAGCCAATGCTCAACTTTTCTCTCTCCAATTTTCCTTCAAGGAGCAGGCTCACCACCTCCTCCAGGACTAGCTCTTTATTTCATCACCCCTGAAAACAATAGGAGAGAAGTGTTTTTGGAAATTGTTCCCTCTCTGAGGCTCAGACCCTGACAAGGATGTTTTTAAAAATGAAATGCATGAAATCAGTCAGCTTTTAATTTCTTATGATCGTGAAGAATGCAGAGCTGATAATTCGGATAACAATGTATTTGAATTGGGCAATCTGGATTTAATACTGGCCTTGCTAAGCAAAAAGGAATCACCTTATCTCTTTGGTTTCCTCATCTGACTAGTGAGGAGGTTTTTACCTGCAGTATTTCACTTCTGGAGGTGCTTAAATATCTTGTATGATATAAAGATGACATGCATTTATTGGAGTTACCTTAAAATGTACAAGCAAAACCTTTAAAACCATCCATAATCAAACAGCTCAGAGGCAACCAACTAGGGCATTGAACAAAATTGGAGTTAGAACGTATTCATTTTGATAACTATATGAAATAACAGTAAATAAATACTACACTTCCAATATAAAATCATTTACATGGAGTTTTGGAATGGTGCTTATCTTTATCTCTAAAACCACTGGACTCCCTCCTTGACACTCAGAAGGTCTAGATTTCTTTCCTAGGTACCATGAAGAGCATTATGTTTTCTTTCCAAGTTAACAGCCTCCCTTGGTCATTACAGCCATGGAGGAAGGTACACAGGGCAAATATGATTATCCCTATTTGGCAGGTAAGGAAACCAAGGCTCAGTAAGGGGAAGTGCACTGCTCTAATTACACAGTCAGGGATGGTCAAGGACTCAGGATGTGAAGTCAAGGCTCCTGGGCAAATACTCGTTATCACACTATTTCCAGTTGACCTGAGTTTAAAACAGCAAACTCCACTGTCTACCAGCACAGGCTGATGAGCAAGTTCTGATGACTTCCATCTTTTTGCTGCCAGTACATTTCTATAAGGAAGAATTGTCTGCTCAGAACAATTCATTGAAAATTATGTTGATGGTTATACTGTAAATAACTTTCATAATGCTGAATCTGTAAGTGAACTGTCCAATTATCTTTAAAGCTTTGACCCGATTTTTATTTTTCTCCCTGGCACCGCTATCCTCTTGCTGTGAGTTGTGTAACAACTTGTGACACGCCTTGACATGACCAGTTCTGACCTCAGGGATTATTCCATTATTGTATTTGATTTGATGGATTATAATTAGCTGCTCTCAAACCCAATGATAGTAATGAAATTCAATGACTAGAAACTGGGAACTTATCCAGGACAGGTTGGTCTCTGATGGAAATATAATGTCCTATATAACTGGCATAAATTATAATTGCTCATAGCAAAAGCTAATGGTGACTAATTCTGATGACTAAAATAACATTCAACTTTATGTTGTACTACTGAATAATTTTGGAATGAAAACACGTTGGTGACCTGGTGCTAGATCATACAGTGAATCTGACTTCTAAATTTCCAATTAGATGGAATTCAGAGAATAACCATGCAGCCTGGATGTGTAAATGGAGAAAGGAAAAACTTAATATTTACTTAGAGACTTCAGTGTAGAATTTGGCCTTGATATTAAGGCTAAATCCTCATGAACTCTGTCCTTGCCTGAAACTGTGAGGTCTGATGAGGATATCTCCTGAGTATATTTCCTTTACTGTGGGCTCAGTAAATCTGCTGACCTAGAAGACCAAGTTCCAACACTGAGAAATTCAGAACAGGACCAGGGATTAATTACTATTTTCCAGCCTTCTTGCAGTCTTTTCCTTCCTTCCTCTTCAGTGTAAAATCGCCACCTCTAGACAAGTCATATCCCCTCTCTCTATTTAGGTATTTATTCTCTGATAAGTAAGACATTTCAGAGAAAGCTTCCTCTATGGTGGCTCGCTGGGCCATATGTATGGTAACCGTAGCTCCTGGATGACAAAAGACCTGTCTGAGGACTAAGTGAGTAGGACCCAGGCCTGGGCTGCCTTCCAGTTATCCTCCTGTTTCCTTCAAACTCCCATTCTTAGCCTGGACACTGTGAGCTCTTCAAGCATTCAGACACAGAGATTCACAGAGGCTGATTGCAACCCAAGGAAATAAGTTTGGTTTCAGAACTACTGATTCATCTCAATCAAATATCTTAGTTGCAAACTTGAAGTAGCAAAGTGCAACCAGCAGCTACTACAATTCTTACCATCAAAAGCCGTGGCTGGTATCAAAAGCAAGTCAGTGTCACTTCTTCTGAGGAAGGCTGCAGCTTCTCCAAGCTCTGACAGATCCATCTTCTTCAAATAAATATATCACGAAAAGATAGGCCAAAAAGTGAACTGCAAGGATCCACTCTATAAAATATAGTTTTGAAAGAAAACAGTAGAAATAAGGAATTGAGATTGAAAATGACAAATCACTCACTATAGCTAGATCCAAGTGTTAATCTGCTTTTAACAACATATATCTCGGGGCTGGGGATTTAGCTCAGCGGCAAAGCGCCTGCCTGGCAAGCGCAAGGTCGTGAGTTCAGTTCCCGGTGCCGGAGGGGGAAAAAAAAAAAAAAAACACAAACAAACAAAAAACAACGTATATCCCTTTCTGTCTTTGTTAGGTCTCTAGTCTACGACACAGCTGAACTCAAGAACACTGGACTCCTAACAGGGCCAAGTTATCCCATAGACATGGAACATATAACACATAGGGTTCACAGTGCTTTTATGGACCCGTGAAAAATTTTTTTGTTATTCTTAAGCAACTATCAGAAGAAAAACATGAATATAATATTAATGACATATAAAAACTGTGCCAAGATTATATTTGTCTTTCTAGTAACACAGTTATAAAAGCTATTTTTGTTTTTTAATATTTTGGAGAGGAAGGCCTGCAAAAAACAAAAATGTGAGGCCTGGTGACAGTCATGATACAATCCTAAGCCACAGCGGTCTGACGTGGGTAGAAGCTATAGTAAACCGGAGTGTGAAATATCAAATTGTGGGCTCTTGTTCCCTTGACAGGAGGTAGCAGGAACAGTGGTATCAAGCTGCCTTGAAGTATACAGAGTATTATAGCCAGAGAAAGGTGGAAAGGAGGGAAGTTATTCAGGTAAAATGTTCAGCGTTAGAAAGTAAAGTAATAAAAATGTAAGAATCCTTACCCAGTGCGTATCTGCGTCAGTTTACAGTAATTCAGGTAGAAGGGCATTTAACAAGACGCCAAGGCAAGAGTGAGGAGCATACACTGGAGTGGCAGTGAGAAGCAAGTTTGGGGGTGAGGAAGGTGGAACAGGCATAATTATTGTTAATTTTCAAAACACTTTATATTTGGTAACAAGGAGGAGAAGAAATGGAAAATAGGCAGTCATGATCCTAAATGCAAGCTCATTCTCTCTATGGAGACAAAAAAGTCTTCTCCTCCCAAGTGTGCAAGTAATACTAGCCCCATTTACAGATGAGAGGGAGAAAGGGACTCACCAGCTTTGTTTCTCTCAGCTGCCAGACTTGAGAACTGATCGGCAGTGTGTTCTACCCACTGCAGGATGAGCTATGACCACATTCTACCATTCTACCTTGTTGACAGGTGACCATGGATAAACCATTGCAATTATAATAATGATGAAATGAATAATCTGAATAATCACCTAACCTACTCTGTTCTGCATGGTAACTCAGAATAGGGATGTAGGGATACAATTTTGGGAATCTAGTTTAAAGGAGTGTGGTTTAAAGCAAAGACTAGTGTTCTAGGTACTTGTTAGTTTTATCTTTGTCACAAAATAGGCATGAGGCTCGTAGGAAATTACTTAAGCTTTGGAGGGCCAGTTTCTTCACCTGCAATGCAAGTGCTAGGCATAATGTAAAGGGACACTTTCTGAGGTGGAGCAGAAAAAAGATCTTCCAGAAAAACAGTATAAGCAAAGGTCCAGAGATGGAACTAAGGACTGTATTTCTCAGGAGAAAAAAAGTGGACTTTTCTGTAGGCAAGCATCCAGATTTAAGTTTGCAGTTATAACAACGACAAAATGAATAACATCTTTAGACATTTGAATGGATAGAATGGAGCATGGTTTCTTTTTTTACAAAGCTGAAAGTTAGCTAGAGGAATTTGGAAATAGATTATAGAAAGCATTATAAACTCTTTGGTCAAGGACATATGGAAATCAGTATTTTTGGAAAATTGCTAAAGAAATTCATCTGGGTAAACTGGGACAGTGAAAGACCATGGTCAGAGAGACAAGTTGTGAGTTTGCATTTGTGACAGAATTGAACTGAATTTAATTCTGCCCTTAGATGTGACTTCATGGTTTGCTTTCAGAAGACAGTAACATTCGGGGAGTATATTTGGGATACTGAAGATATCTATAACCATGTGTGTGCACGTGTGTATACACATTTCCTGGAAAGACCCCTGAGCAAACAGTATCCCTGGAGGTAGGCACAGAAGCTGGGTTGGAGAAGAAAAGCCTGGTCTGTACTTAGGTCAACTCCATTTGACTGGGATTCTCTTCTGAGTGCAATGTCCATGCCAAGACTCACAGCTCACCATCCCAAGCAGAAGCTTTAGACAGGGACACATTTCTCTTACTAAGCCAGACGTCTGGCCGTCATGTGCTTTCACAGACCCCTGTCCCATATCATTCTCTGCTCTCCACACCAGTGGAAGGGTCTCCTTCCTCACCCTCCTTGTTTCTCAACAGAACTCTCGGAGTTGTCTCCAGTTCCTCCCTTTGTCTCTCCCCCACATTTAATTAACCACCAAGTTCTGGGGATTATACAATCATTAAGTATTTTTAAATGGTATCTTTGTTAGCACACATTTGCAGTAACAGGGAATGCATCCATTGTGGGGAGCTGGTCCATGCGTATGGCAAATCTCCGTTCCTTTTACATGTCCTCCTCCCTCCGTCTCTCCCTTCCCTTCCACTTGCAAGGTTCAATCTCCCGTCTTCTATTATCTATTTTTTATTTTGCCCTTTGTTTATACTTTGGGTTGATCATATGAGAGAGACCATGTGGTATTTAAGCTTGTGTGTCTGATTTATTCCACTTAACATTGTGGGTTCATTCTCTTATCCAGTTTTAGCTAGTACTGTGTAGAATATGTGCAGAGACTTAGTCTTTTGTAAGACATGCCTGGCCTCATCCACAAGCATGATCCCCAAGCCACCATGTCTGTAATTTCACATGGGAGTCCTGACACACCTGGTTAGCCCAGGCTTGTGCACCCAATCCAAAAAGGAGCAATCAGAGTGTTCGTTGGCATGCAGACATGGGACTTGGGTACCACTCTCAGTCTAGGCTCTTTAGCCTAACTGGAATGATGATAACCTAAGGTTGAACTTATGGTGTGATCTTGTGGTGCTATCCTCATGCTAATCAGCAATGTATCAATAGAGAAGCACCAGCATGTGAAAAACAGAACAGCAAGGAGGGAGGGAGCAAAGGAGGAAGAGAATGGGAAGAGAGGAGAGTGAAGAGGAGAGGAGAGGATGAATTACTTACATAGTATTTATGTCCCAGATAGTTTTCCTGCTAACAGTACCTGCTAAAACTTAGATTCAATCCCTGTCATTGGTTTCTATAAGATATTTTTAAAATCTCCCAACCAATTCCCATTTCACCCTCAACTTCAAATGATTTCGGTTGAGTTTCTCTTATTTACCATCAAAATATCTTTAACCAACACATTATGTTCCAGTCTTGTTCCTGTCACGGGTTTTTATTTTTTGATGTGAGGATTGTATATAAAAGCACACTCTCCAGTGCATAGTAAACTCTCAATCAATGTTAACTACTTTTATTACTATTCAACAAACATTTGTGCAGTCTTTGATTGCGTTGCTCAATATGTAGGAGAGTAGCTTTGCCTTCTAAATTGCTTAGTGAATGTGAGATGTGCAAAACCATAACAGAGAACAGTGCCATAGGCAAGAGTCTTTGTCTTCTGTTATTATAATGAATACCATACCCTGGGTAATTTATAAAGACGAGGGGTTAATTTATCTCTTGGTTCTGGAGATTGAGAAGCCCAAGAGCATGGTGCCAGTAACTGTTAGTATCTGTTGAAAGCTTTCTTGCTAGGTCCTGAAATGGCAGAAAGCATCTAATCTTGAGACAGAACAAGGAGCTGGGGATCTAACTCAGCAGCGCAGTACCTGCCTGGCAAGTGTGAGGTCATGAGTTCGATTCCTGGTACCAGGAAAAAAAAAACAACAAAAAAAAGACAGAACAAGGGCACCGGAAAAAGCCTACTTTTACAACAAAACCACTACCTTCATAAACCATTAATTCATGAATAGATTGAACAATATGAATACAGTCCCCATACACAGGTCTTACCTCCAAATGTCATTAGCATATGCATTTGTAAATTAAATTTCTAACACATGAGCTCTGGGGGATGCCTTCAAACCACAGCAAGAAGTAAAGAGGGAAAATTGCAATGACAGCTACACCTGAGTAGATGGAGGTGCGGCAAGGGAAATACCTCCTTCAAGAGCAATCTCCCTTGGGAGGTCACATTTACCCTAGCCCTGTCACTGCTGGCCAGAGTAAACCTATCACTCGGTGTCTTACCTCTTTTGGTTACAGCTAGACAGCCAGTTTCTCAGGGAACAGAACTTTATATATCTTAGGCTCTTAATTGTAATCAGAAAATCAATCAATGTCTATTAGGTAAATTGATAAAAGAGTTACATCATTCTTTATTAGTAACCTCAATAGTTTTTCATGTTGGTTTCATCAGAATTGATTAGATTCCCTGGAGCTCTTCATCAAAGTAGGTTATTACGTGTGTTTACTTTCAAAGACTTCCATTATTGGGCAACTATGATGCAAGTAATAAGAAACACTAATATTCTTCTCAGTAAACAAACACTAAGCATCTCTTGACAGAGCCTCTCTCATTATTAAAATTGGAGGCAAAGTGCCTGAAAATGAGAATGGATTTCTCCAGATGTCAACAAAGAAAGAGGAGAATTATCAAGCACTTAAATGATTCAAAACAAGCTAGAACATATGTCTCAAGGCAGTACATGAAACACATTTGAGTTTCAAGGCCCGGAGAGTACCATAAACCTGGAAAAATGCAAGAGGCTCTTCAGGAGAGACAATTCCAGCTGCACAAAGGATGTTCATGCCTCCTAATAACCATGCTGCAGGGACGACCATCTTGTGCGCCTTCACTCAGAAAGGTTTGCTCAGCAGAAAACTCCTCCTTAGTCTCTATGTACAAATATAGCGCTCTCCAAACAGCTACAATACCTGCGTTCTATTCATTTGCATACAGTTTGGAT